TTTCCCTTTAATCTTTATGCTGTAATTAAGTTTTTAACAACCTATTCTGATATAGAATAAGTTGCAATTTTTTTATTCTGTCTGTCCAGTTACCATTTTACTCAAATTTTTGTGTACAGTACTTTTCCCTTTTCATTTCAGGTAGAAGAGCTTCTTTCAACGTTTCTTTTAAGGCACATCTAATGTTGATGAGCTCAGTCAGCTTTTGTTCGTCTGGGAACATCTTTATTTCTCCTTCATATCTGAAGGATAACTTTGCTAAATAGAGTATTCTTGGGTGATGGTTTTTATCTTTCAGTATTTCGAGTATGTCCTTCCACTCTCTCCTGGCCTGCAGAGTTTCTGCTGAGAAGTCTGCTGATAGACTGATAGGGATTCCTTTGTAGGTTACCATCCTTTTTTCCCTGGCTGCCTTTAGAATATTCTTTCTTTGTCATTGACTTTTGACAGTTTTAATATACCGTGTCTTGAAGAAGGTCTTTTTGTATTGAGGTAATTAGAAGTTCTCTTGGCTTTGTGGACTTGTCCATCCAGTTCCCTCCCCAGGTTTGGGAAGTCCTCAGCTATTATTTCTTTAAATAAACCCTCTGCACTCTTCAGTCTCCCTTTTCCTCCTGGGATACCCATTACCCTAATGATGCCCTTCCTAAAAGAGTCAGATGGTTCTATAGGATTTCTTTACTTTTTAGATCTTAATTCACTCTCCTCTTCTCCCTGTATCATTTCTAGATTTCAATCTTTAAGCTCACTAATTCTCTCTTCCATGTGGTCTGCTCTATTTCCAGTGCTTTCTAATGCATCCTTCATCTCATTTATTGAGTTCTTAAGCTCCAGAATTCCTATTTGGTGCTTTTTTTGAATTTCAGTCTCTTTGGTAAAGTATTCCTTCTGTTCATTCATTTCATTCCTGAGGTCATTGAACTGCCTTTCAAAGTTTTCTTGTAGCTGGTTGAGTATCTTCATGACAGCTATTTTGAATTCTCTATCAGATCACAACATTCCGTGACTTTAAATTTGGTTTCTGGAGGACTGTCATTTTCTTTTTGTGGTACTGTGTTACCGTGGTTCTTCATGGGGCTTGATGAGTGCTCCTCTGCCAGTGCATTTGAAGTGGTGAACATGTTTCTTCTTTAGGTAAAGCTTTTTTTTTTTTTCCCTCACTTGATTGTAGCTATTCACTAGGTTAGTAATTAGATGCCTTTCTTTTGTTTCCCAGTAGGTGGCGCTATAGCACAAGTTTTTGGTTTCTCTTACCCGCGCTGGTTATTTTTGAGAGCTGGCACTTTCCACTCTCCACTGTCCGTGTCAGAGGTGTCGCCTGGTGCCCTCCTTGTCACTATTTCCGTCTCCAGGGTTGTCGGTTCCTTGCTGCTGCCGGTGTTGCTGACAGTGCCACCTGGGGCACGGAGATGGCCGGCACTGCCTTCACCGTCCCTCTGGTTCCACCTACTTTATGTGTTCCAGTCCAGTCCCTTAGATGACAGAGATGTGGAACTCTCCAGCATGCTGCTGTGTTGGGCCGAGGAACCTTTGTTGAGTCATGGAAGTTTTACTGGTTTTACTGGTCGTAGATTGAAGGGGAGAGACAAAGGGAGTGTCTCACACCCCCCATGATGTTGATGTCACTCTTCCAAATGGGCACATTTTAAATACATTTGATAGGATCGTAAGGGTAAACTTTTCTGTGTTTTACTAAGCAGTAGGTCTAAATGGAATCAGAGGAAAGTGGTCCTTGTTCATGTTTACAATTCAAGCGGTTACATATTTTTTAAGTCCTGAAAGATGCTTTATTAACGGTAAGGGTTCTCTTATTTCTTGATTAAATTTAGCAAGAAGCTTACTATGAAATGTTACTTGCTGGCTGGCTTTCATACTGAAGTGTTTCACTTTACCCTGATCTAAAATAGTGTGCCTTCCAAAGCTACTAGTGACAGATAAGAGCAGGAATACAACTTTACACAGTCAAGGAACATTTGTTTCTCTTATAATGCACTGTTCCAGGACTTTGTCCCCTCTCTGGGCCTTTTCCATTTTTTAATCTTAAACTCTGAACTATAGAGTTAAACTCCTTGACTAAAGTTTTCTGTAAGACAATTTATCTTCTTTGTTTCAGAACTCTGGGTGGCCTACATTTCTTTTGTCTTCAACAAACAGTCTTGCTCTTGAATGAAGGACTGCTCCTTTCATGTTAGTATTAGTCACTCACACATATGAAAGAACGCCTGCCCTCTTGTGTCCATAGAGACTGCTACAATAAGGAGTGAATTAGCAAGTTTATCATGCCAGAAATACAGAGTTCTCTCCTGTGGAGATTTGTTACCAGAGTTTGCTCAAGGCTGCCAAGTATGGCTGTACAGTTCAAACACTGCAGAACAACCTCAGCCCAAGAGCTGAATGAACAGTCATTGAGGGACTTCCCTGGTGGCGCAGTGGTTAAGAATCCGCCTGCCAATGCAGGGGACACGGGTTCGAGCCCTAGTCCGGGAAGATCCCACATGCCACGGAGCAACTAAGCCCGTGCACCGCAACTACTGAGCCCGCACTCTAGAGCCCACGAGCCACAGGTACTGAAGCCCTGGCACCTAGAGCCCTTGCTCCCCAACAAGAGAAGCCACCACAGTGAGAAGCCTGGGCACCACAAAGAAGAGTAGCCCCTGCTCACCGCAATTAGAGAAAGCCCGCGTGCAGCAGTGAAACCCAACGCAGTCTAAATAAATAAATAAAATTTTTAAAAAAGTCATTGAAATTCATCTCATACTTTGCTTGTCAATCACGCCTCCTATGTCTAGACTGTGTCTTCTCAGAGGGGTTGCCCATTAAAATTTCATTCAAGGCTGCCATCCCCTCATAAAGCTTTGCACCACCTGAAGTGTGCCTCCTTCTGTCATTTATGCAAATCTCTGTATTGGCTAATGACAGCCTCGTGGAGGCTCATTGTGAGTTAGTTGTACACTGCTCTCATCATGTAACTTTGCTACTCAGAAATTTCCAGGAATTAAAATTCAGAATTGGAGGTGAATGACATCACATAGTCCCAGGTTATCAGAGGAAGGGAATAAGGAACAGAGAGGCAAGAGAAGTGCTAAATTTGTTGGTGGCGATGCAGGGAACTAAAAGGCCGGCCTTCTGACTCCCAGCATATACGCTCTGAAGTCTTAGGTGATCCCGTTATTTTACCCCACCCCACCTATCCCTGTCAGGTCTAGAGTAAATGCACAATAGTTTGTTTGTTGAGTGAATGAATGAATGACTGTCTTTGCCCGGCTTCCCAGAACACGCACTCTCCTGTGCTACATCTACTGCTGTGCACCTTCACTCATAGTATTGTTCCCACCTGTGATGCTCACTGCTCTCTACCTGGTCAGCACTTACACCAGCTTCAAGACTCAGAACCACTTCCTCCATGAAGCTCTCCTCTTCCAGCCTTCATTAAGCCAGAAGAGGGAGCGCCATGGAAGCTGAGCATAGGTGTTCAGACTTAGCAGAAGAGCCCTGGACTGGATCAAGGACCTGCATTCCAGGCGCAGGTCTGCCAGGAGCTGGCTCTGTGATCCTGGATAGATCCCATCACCTCTCCTCTCGGAGCGCCATTGGTGTTGCTCAGTGCAGGACATGCATAGTTCTAGTGAGGTGACATTAGGGACTTCCTGAAAATGTATTTTCTTGCATGTTAATAGAAATGTATTTGCTTAAATGTACTGGTTTTGGGGGGAAAAGCCCCCAAAACATTAGACCCATGGTTCCTTGGATATTATTTTATGTGATAAGGCTAAGTATTTTAAGTTTAAAAAGAGAGTTCATGTAAGGAAAAATATTAAGTAAAGCATGATACAAGTAGTAATCAGACATGGCAAAAATAATAAAGTAGTATAAAAATGGTGAGAGTTTGCGAAGCCCTGGAGGAGCTCACCACCCTGGTTCCTTTTAACTCTCCCTGGGCTCTTCTCTGACCTTAATGTAGCACCGCCAGTTTGTCCATCACTGTTAGTTACTGACGACAATATAGCCTCTTTCGTTGTTACAGCTGTGTCTGATATTCCTTGATCTCTACCACACTCATCACAAAATAATTCACACAATAGGCCTTTAAAAAAGACTTGTGGGCTTCGCTGGTGGCACAGTGGTTAAGAATCCGCCTGCCAGTGCAGGGGACACAGGTTCAAGCCCTGGTCTGGGAAGATCCCACATGCCGCGGAGCAACTAAGCCCGTGCACCACAACTACTGAGCCTGCGCTCTAGAGCCTGCGAGCCACAACTACTGAGCCCGCATGCCATAACTACTGAAGCCCACGTGCCTAGAGCCTGTGCTCCGCAACAAGAGAAGTCACGGCAATGAGAAGCCCGCACACCGCAACAAGAGTAGCCCCCGCTTGCCGCAACTAGAGAAAGCCCGCGCACGGCAACAAAGACCCAACACAGCCAAAAATAAAAACAAATAAAATAAATTTATTTAAAAAGAAGACTTGTGGCTCTGCTGATTTTCCAACATTTGTAAAACACATTGACCCAGAGTGTCAAAACCATGTTCACTTTTATAAATGTAGATACTTTTTCTACTTAAAAAAATTAAGTAGACTCATTACATAAAATGTGGAAAATACAGAAAAGGAGAAAGAAAGAAGGCATCCGTATTCTTACTGTCCAACAATGAATCCTGCTAATATCTCCCCCTAATTAAAAGTTTTCCTGGAAAATCCTAGCAAGTGAGGATCTACTCTGTTCGTCATTTTGGAAACTTGGAATAGTCCCGAGTTAATGTATTCTTGTCATCCCAAATCATAAAATCAAAAATTTTCAATGGCAGATCCAGGGATGGAGGTCCACTGGCACCTTTAGAAACGGCAGTTGAGTAACTGCCACAGAGGGGAACCAAAGCTGGGAGAGAATAATAATAATAGCCACTGCAAAATGCACTGTGTACACGAAGCTCTGTGCTAACACTGATGGCTCAGTATCTTGCATATGTGTTATGCTGATTTGTATATTCGTGTTTCCTGTAGGGTTTTTGGAGTCTCTGGACGACTTTTACCTTCTCAGCAGTGGTTTGGTATTGCTGCAGACCACAAACAGCGTGTATAATAAAACCCTACTGCAGCACGTGGTACCCAAGTCTCTCCTGGCCTGGCAAAGAGTCCGGGTGGCCAATATGATGGCAAACGGAGGCAAGCAGTGGGCAGAGGTCTTTTCAAAATACAACTCTGGTAAGTGGCCCTGCAGAGTAACTTTTAGGCATGTACGTACGTTTAGATCTGGAGTTAACCAGTAAAGCCATACCCATGCCCTGTCTTCATGTCTCCCAATATTTCAGGCACGTATAACAATCAGTACATGGTCCTGGACCTGAAGAAGGTAAATCTGAACTACAGCCTTGGTAAAGGCACTCTGTACATCGTGGAGCAAATTCCTGCCTATGTAGAATATTCTGAACAAACTGATGTTCTGCGGACAGGTATTTTCTTCATGCTAGAAGTCTGGAAGTCGGGTGTGTGTGTGTGTGTGTGTGTGTGTGTGTGTGTGTGTGTGTGTGATGGGTAATATGTGCTGTGTGAATGTATGATGCGGGGAGTATATGGTGGGGAAGGAAGGAGGGGAATGCCGTTGCTAGTCACACAGGGAAAAGAATGACCAGGTTCAGCACAACATGTAAAACCTGCTCCTCAAACTCTTACGTGACAGCATGATCTACCTTTATGCGTAGACTGGGACAGAGCCAGGCATTCACAATCTTATGACTACTTATGGTTCCAGTATTACCTTCTCTGCTGGGTTCCCAAGTAAAATTTTAGTTCAGCAACTATTTATGGGAGTGCTACTCCGGCCAGGGACTGGAAAAGCGTGGATGTAGAATCCCCAACACACAGTCTGATAGGGAAGCAAGGCACCTAAAGAAGCTATTAGAGCCCAGAAAGCAAACAGCAGTGATGCGCTCTGGTGTAGCAAACCTGGTGGTGACGCCGTCAGTGGGAGGGATGAGAGAAGGCGGTTCTGGAGGGCAGGGTCACAGCCCAGACGTTGGAAGTACTGGTTTTGGAGTCACATTGCCTTGATTGGACTATCTGTTCCTCAAAATCTTATCCAGTCTGTCCTAGCCTCACTTTCTTCATCTGTAAATCCTGACAGTAATGGTGCAGGTCCCTAGTCACTTATTCGTAATTACAAAATCTCAAAACTCTGTAAGTTCTTTGTTCCTTTGTCTTTTGTCCTAGCTCACTTGTGGTAGCCAAGTATGACCTGATCTGAACTCACTCGGCAGCAAAAACTAACTTGAACTATTTATGGCCTCTATTTATTCCCTCTCCTCTGGAGAGAATTTATACGTCAGGCTACAGAGTTATCAATGTCTTTGATTATGAGGGGCTCCCCACAGAGACTGCAACATCATCTGTAATTTACACACCATTGCTGTTCTACAATCTGGAAAACCCTGAGTTCTGAAACACATCTGGCCCCCAAGAGTTTTGCGATGTGGGAGTGTAGACCTTTGCAATTTCACAGGGTTGTCATGATAATGAACTGAGATAATTTTTGTCGATTCTTGAGCACATTGCCGACACTTGGCAAGTCCTAACATCTTGCATTGAACGTAGTGCTCAGCACACATAAGAAGTCCTCACTGAATATTTGTTAAATAAATGAAAGAGAAGATGATGTCTGCGTGGAGGTTTACAGGCTAGAAAGGAGCTCAGCCATTTGACAAGGGGACAAGGTCAAACAAATAGAGGCATGAAGACCATGGTGTGAAGGAGACACTATTAGCCCAAGACAGCTAGAGAGAAGGCTGTGACACGGAAGATAGGTAGTCAGAGGAAAATACAGCCTTTGGATCCTGATGAGCAGTCAGTTTAGCCTTTATACAAAGTCCAGAGATAAACCCATGAACCTATGGTCACCTAATCTACGGCAAAGGAGGCAAGAATATAAAATGGAGAAAAGACACTCTCTTCAATAAGTGGTGCTGGGAAAGCTGGACAGCTACTTGTAAAAGAATGAAATTAGAACACTCCCTAACACCACACACAAAAATAAATTCAAAATGGATTAAAGACCTAAATGTAAGACTGGACACTATAAAACTCTTAGAGGAAAACATAGGCAGGGAAAACATAGGCAGAACACTCTTTGACATAAATCACAGCAAGATCCTTTTTGACCCACCTACTAGAGTAATGGAAATTAAAACAAAAATAAACAAATGGGACCTAATTAAACTTAAAAGCTTTTGCACAGCAAGGGAAACCATAAGCAAAACAAAAAATCAACCCTCAGAATGGGAGAAAATATTTGCAAACGAAGCAACCGACAAGGGATTAATTTCCAAAATATACAAACAGCTCATGCAGCTCAATATCAAAAAAAAAATAACCCAATCAAAAAATGGGCAGAAGACCTAAATAGATATTTCTCCAAAGAAGACATACAGATGGCCAAAAAAAGCACATGAAAAGATGCTGAACATCACTAATTATTAGAGAAATGCAAATCAAAACTACAATTAGGTATCACCTCACACCAGTCAGAATGTCCAACATCAAAAAATCTACAAACAATAAATGCTGTAGAGGGTGTGGAGAAAAGGGGACCCTCTTGCACTGTTGGTGGGAATGTAAATTGGTACAGCCACTATGGGGAACAGTATGGAGGTTCCTTAAAAAACTAAAAATTAGCCTTTATCCTTTAGAAAACTGGAGTCTTTGAAAAGGGAGAACACACAGGTCAGAGAGAAGACAGGAGGAGAATTAGGAAGCTGTTGAAGTAGATCAGCTGAGAGATGAGAAGGAACAGAACCAAGACACGGTATGGATCCTGGGGGTCAGGGCCGGTCCTTCATTTCCCAGGTCCTCGAATCCATTTTGTAACGACACCCAGAGGGAACCGCCTCACTCCAGGGTGGCTCCTGCCAGCTAAATGCAAATAATGTGCATAAAACAGAATTAATTAAGGTGGCAACTTCAAGAAGATCAGATGCTACCAAGTAGCGGACCTACCTCCTCTTCTTGTTGGAAAATCCACCTGAGAAGTCAGATGGTTAGGTGGCTACTTGGTTGGCGTGGCAGTTCAAAACCGAGAACCTAGCTGTCTGACTTGGTTCTCAGAGCCTGATAATCATGGGAAGCCGCTGATTATATGCTGGTAGATTCAGGTTCTTTGCAATCCCATCCCTAGATCCCACGCAGAAATCTACCCTGGGACTAAAACAAGTTGATGCTGATCTGTCTGTAGTTTTGTTTTGTTTTCCCCCAGAGGCAAGAAGAACACAGAGTTAAACTCATTGAGTGTCTACTATATACTTGACATACCTTTTACTTATATTCCTTTGTTTGACCTTCATAACGTATTTCCAGATAAGTAGTTTCGTTACCGTCTTACTGTAAGGGAAGAAAGGCTCAGAAAGAAACATGTGATTTTCCTAAATAATTAAGCGATATCATATAGCCATTTAAAAAAAAAAAAAAAAGTCCCGCAAACCTCCTAGTATTTGGAAGCAGCTGTGATATGCCGATAGAAGCCCTGGGTGATTTTAGTCAGAAGGAAGGCATTCGACCTCTCTGAACCTCTGTTTCTTCCTTTAGAAGGAGGGATGCAATATTTATACATCAGCAGGTATTGTGTTGTTATATAAGATACTCTATTTTAAATCTTTTTTTAGTCATGAAGCTTTATGTGAAGTATAAAGTGGCCATTTTTATTATTCATTTGAGCTATTCACATAGAGAATTCACATAGAGAACTATAATTATAAAAGTTAATATTCATCTAGTGCTTACCAAGTACCAGACCCTGTTGTAAGCTACTCCATCTGTTTGAACTCATTTAACACTCACAATGATCCTTATAAGGTAAGTACTATCATTGTTCACATTTTATAGACTGAGGCACAGAGAGGTTAAAAACTTCGTGTAAGGTCACATACCTAATAATGGCAGGACCAGGCTTAAGGTCCAGGCAGTCTAACTCCCAAGTTGTATAACCTAGGTACACTGCAATAATAAATGTGACTTTTAGCCTGCACTTTCAATGTTGTCTTTATCTCACTTCTTCCTGATGCTGGCTCTGTGCCCCAGAATCAGCAAGGTTGAATGTCTTGTCATTTGTTTTCTCTTAATAAGTTCACCCCCGAGTAGGGGATCCTATAAAACAGTAAGAAGGGAAAAAGGCAGACAAGGGCTAAGAGAATATAGGAGTGGGAATTAATCCCCGAATGCTGAAGGCTGACTGTCCTATAGGCAATACCTTAGGCCACTGTAATCTGAGCTGTTACCGAAATGTTGATTTTACTAAAGTTGTGTCACACGTTTGACGCCTAGTGTCGTTGGCACACTGTGAAGCTCTGAATGCAGCTGAGCCTTTATGAATGTTGAGCGTCAGAGGAGTTAAATGCCTACTGGAACCATACAGACCATCTCCATTCCCCTCACATTATGAACTCTTCCTTTCCCTCCTCCTGCTAAAAAAAAGGGGTTGGGGGAATGAGGTTAACTGCCTAAGGTCTAGTTATTCAACCCGGAGCCTAGAATTCAGATAATCTTCTGCTTAATAGATTGCTTTAAGAATTTGGGGTGAAAACCCAAAGAACCCTGATGCTTTTCTTCCCCTCATGGAATAATCTAGAGGTCTACCGAGTCTGTAAATGTCAAAGGATCTGTTTGATTGCCAGGGTTCACAGTCATTATTTTCTATGTAGTATCATTTTGTAATTACACAGCTGTGCCAATTTTCAAAAGAAAGTACCACGAATAACATTTCTTTGGTTTCCTCTCTCTTCTGTCTTCCTCCCTGTCCATCCCACCCTTCCCTCCCTTCCACTCCACATTAGGCTACTGGCCCTCCTACAACATTCCTTTCCATGAAAAAATCTACAACTGGAGCGGCTATCCAATGCTGGTTAAGAAGCTGGGTTTGGACTACTCTTACGATCTGGCTTCACGAGCCAAAATCTTCCGGCGTGACCAAGGGAAAGTGACTGATATGGAATCCATGAAATATATCATGCGCTACAACAGTACGTAGCACATTTCTCAAGAATCATTCTTCAAAACTCCTTTTCTTCCCCATGGATAAAGAATCCATGTCATTTTATCATCTCTGTACTAGAAGGAATTATAAGAAGTTATTGAATTATTTAGTATTCAATTGATACTATGCATATTATATACACAACAAATAGAATTTTGTCCTCTTTTATAAAAATGATAGGGAAGAAAATTCTACATTTTTTTTTTAACTGAAAAAGTTATATGTAAAACACAAAAGAAAAAACCCATGTAGGGTACTTTTTTTACCCTACCGTCCCAAACACAGATTTCCTTCCAAGGAGAAAAGCAGCTACTAAAACAGCAATTATTCATAAACACTTTATTTTTGATGAACAGTATCGAGTCAGATTTGTATTTATTTTGTTAAAAAAAAATGTAGGTACATTTGTCCTCTGTTACCTTTCTTCCATCCATTCTTCACTGTGCGAGGTTCTTGAGACCAGGCTGAGCCTGGAGCAGGGGACTTGGCAGTTGCCTCTTCCCAGTACAAGTCGGAGGTGACTTCTGTATATGGGAGCAGGCTGGGCCGAGGAGGTCTCTGGGGTATACGCTCTGATCATCTAGGCTTAAACAGGTCCAGTTTACTGTGGATAAGTGGATCTCAGAATGGTCAGTGCTCACTCTTTTCCCCATCACTGTTTCCTAGATTACAAGAACGATACTTACAGTAACGGTGATCCCTGCAATACCATCTGCTGCCGTGAGGACCTGAACTCACTTAATCCAAGTCCTGGAGGTTGCTATGACACCAAGGTAACACGCTATTGGTTGTTTTGGGTTTTTTTTTTGACTTTTTGTTTTATACTGGAGTACAGCCAATTAACAGTGTTGCAATGGTTTCAGGCGCACAGCAAAGTGACTCAGCCATACGTAACATGTATCCATTCTCCCCCAAACTCCCCTCCCATCCAGTCATTACTGGTTTTTGAATTTAATTTCTACCAGCACGTAGGCCTTTTCAAAGGCAGAGCTGCAGAGGTTTTTGTGGCATAAAACACAATAATGTCTCTAAACACAAACTCAATTCAGGAATCAGCTTTTTCAGAGATTCTGGTGGTAGGTCCTATCGCCTAACTTCCAGTTCCTGCTTGGCCACTCAGCCGTAAACCACATAATCTTTTATGCTTCTCTTTCCTCATCTGAAAAATGGAAGTAAGAGTACTTGCCTCAAGGGTTGTTGTGAAGAATCAACACTTAATAGCTATAAAATGCTCACAGCAGTACTTAGTGGGTTGTTTGTAAATATACACGATCATGATGATGATGATGGTGATATTGTGGAGGTTTTAAGGTTTACCAGACCGGCCCAAAGTCCAAAGAACATACCGAGAGCAGTGTGATTTCACGTTACACAGGAATTGAATGTAGCCGAAGGAACAAGTATTGGACCAGATGCTCAAGCAATAAAGACTTTTCACTATGCTAGAATTGTTAAGTGCCGTAATGTGTCTCACAATCTAGGTAATAAAAAGTTTGCAGTGGGGCTAAAGCCCACTCATATAGGCTTGTGAGAACCAGTTGTTAAAACAGTTGACACCAAGTTGATAGCTTGAAGTGGTGGAATATTTACATCGTGGAAATCAGCAAACACTACAAATTGGGGTCTTTTTCCCTCAGAGAGCTAGTTAGTTAAAAATTTACCAGGATTTGGGATGTCCAAGGTTGTGAGTTAGCCATTTAGTTGGTGGAAGGAATCATTCTACCACATCCTTTTGCACTTTTGGCTTGGGCATATGTCTTTTCATTTGCATCTCCAGTCCTAAATTCTAGAAGAAATCTGTTACAAGCGGAGTTAACTGTTCTATCTGACGCTCTGGTAACTGTAAGAATGCCAACCCCCCCATACCTTATTTTTTCTATCAGCTTAGTGTCTAAACAGAAGATGCCTTAGAAGAGTTTGAGCCAAGCTTTAGCCTTAATGACTCTCAAAATGTTGTGTAAGAAAAATTTAGTGGATGTAGCGAGCCTGGCACACATGAAGCCCCAGTGAATGCTTGTGCATTTATTTCTTTTTAATGGCATTTGCAAACATTCAGTAAAGTGTGTGAAAAGTGTTATATCCATTCCAGAACACACAAAGAGAATGACTTGAACTGGGGAGAACCCAAGCCAAGCTTCCATCTGCCAAGTTTTACTTTCTTCAGGAGACAAGAGCCTGCCAATTTTTCATCAGAAAAGTCTCTGCTGAAGCATATACTTTAAAAATATCATTTCTCTTGAGCCATTTTGAATATGAGGAAAACCAGAAGTTATGAGACGTTTCCTGCTTTCCCCTCTAGGCTTAAGATCTGCTGCTACCCAATGTTCAAGTGTTTTTAAGAACCACGGACCTCACTTTTCATCGAGTTCCTTCTACTTTAATACTCGTTAGTGCCCTGATTCATAACAACTTTTGCTGAGGAATTAATCTATTCTAGGCACTGCTTCAAGTATTTGCTCTCATTAATCCTTATGACAACTCTTCTATGAAGCAGAGTTTTTTACAAATGAGAAAACGGAGTCAAAATACGTTTTGGAGCTAGAATTCCAAACATGCGTAACCTGATTCCAGATCTCACACTTTTGGCGGTTCGTTTAACACACTTCTACTAGTCAGTGCACATTTGAATGCCAGATAGATGCAGAAGAACGTTATTGTGGAAGCCTGTAGGATTTCACTTTAAGGGGAGCTAATATTGTGACTTCGGACGAGGAGCAGGAACGACAAGTACAGCAGGGATGTAGTCTAGCTTTTGCCCAGCGGTTTCCTAAAATGTCCCCCTCTCCTCTCTTTGCAGGTGGCAGATATCCACCTGGCGTCCGCGTACACAGCCTATGCCATTAGTGGGCCCACAGTACAAGGTGGCCTCCCTGTTTTTCACTGGAGCCGTTTCAACAAAACTCTCCATGAGGGAATGCCAGAGGCCTACAACTTTGATTTTATTACCATGAAACCAATTCTGTAACTTGACATGAAATGGAGGGAGATGAGATACAAAGGGCACTATTTTAACTACGTTTTCCCATTCAAACTTAGTCTTAAAATATATTCAATCCAGTCTATCACTTTCATTTTTCACTGCCAATTTTGTCATGTTTAAAACAAGCATTTACTACAGGGTGGAGCACCGTAGAAGAAAACATTACATACGATGAACGACAATACCGTTTTAGCGCACAAGCTTATACACAAGAAAGTATGGTAGAAGCTGCTCCCTCGCTCACCAAAATCCGTTCTCTGCTTTTAAGCCTGGCCCCGCAGACCACACCTCCCAGGCTGCCCTGGGCAGCTGTGCCACGTGGCGGAGTTCTCGCGAGTGGACTCTTTCCAGGCCTGGCCCCTAACAGCCTGTACTGCTCATGCTGTTTCCCCTTCTCCCAGCTGGATGTGCTTGATGACAGAGCTCTAGGGGGTGGTGGGACCTGCAATAGGAATACTCCAATAGTGTTCTTTTCCTGGTCATTAGGAAGCAACAGCTGAGTCTTTTTCTGGCGCAGGATAGGCACATAATACAGCAAACTTTAACGTTGTCTCCCATTAGTTAAAAGCAGCATATCTAATCTGGGAGCAACTCTGCATAACAAACTTTTCTTTCAAAGCTGGAGAACTGTATGTGGTTTGAGTACCGTGGTACTGTCAAGTTAAGTTAAACGAGCCATACTGAACGGTGTAACAGTGACTCTCAACAAGGTGAAAGACTCCCAAAAGAAAAAGCAAAGAAACACAAGGGCTGAGAATAATCAGAATGAATCAGAGTACACAGGATGTGAAAAACCCAGCAGTTTATTTCAAAGTATAAATTTCAGGCTTGCTGAACAAAATCCCACTACAGTTAACACTTATACAGACAACACTCTACTGTACATTTAAAAAAGAAAAACCCCACAAAAACCTTCAAAACCTAATAAAAATAGGGCAACTTGCTATAGCCCAGTTTCTATTAGACATTAGGAAGGTCTTACATTGTCTTATTATTTACACTTTCAACTGCAATAAAGAAAAATCAGGATGCAAGTTTACTACAAAGGAATTATTTTTATATTTAAATTTGAAATGGTTGATAAAACACTAAAGCCAGGATTTCCCAGGTGTTTGATTGCCCAGTTCCCTTATTTACAAACAAAAGTTTTTAAAAGATGGCAATTAAATATAAATGATGGGTATTAACTGACTCTACAAATAAAAAAAAATGAAAAACTTATTTAGCATGATAAAATAATTTGACCAGAAGACAAAGCATGTATTTGTATCATCCTATTCCTCCCCACTGGCTGGCTCAAGGGGAATAAGTTTTAGGAACTGGATAAACCTGCCGCACTAACAAAACACCTTATAGGAATTGTTCTAATCTTTTTCTTTTTTTTGTCCCAAAATTTTAAAAAAGGGGAGGGAGCCTCATTTGCCCAGTAAATAGTAAGGCAGGCAGAATCATACACTGGTTTTAGATAGAGTTATTTTCAATAATCTAATACTGGGACATGGTATTTCTGGAAATTAAAATAAAACAGGCCAATGATGAAGCTAAAGTAATGAATAAATCATAGGATACTGAAATAGCCCAAGAAGGAAAGTCCCGGAGAACACTTGGAAGTGTTTGCCGTAACCTACTGTGCTAAGATCACAGTGTATAAAGGTGAGAGAGGAGGATACCACAGGCATTATTTTCTTAATCTTGTACAGTACTGGAAAATTCGCAGAATAAGACAAAAGTGTATGCAGTATTGACACCTTGCTGCATAAATGATCATTTTGAAAGTGTAAGCAAAAGAGCAAACAACAAAAAAAAACTACGTTAACACTTAATCCAATATAGCAAGAGAACTGTATGGTGCGGCCCACCTAAGGAGTTCTGCTGACAGGTGGTCCTAAGATTCCAAGCTCCTTGCTTTAGGTCATTTTTTTCAATTAAACCTTTCATTTACTATCTGGCAATGGGGGTCAGGAGAGTGGGGAACACCTCTCTGTGAGGCAAATGGTATCCCAATAAACACTCACTTCTCAAGGAAGAAAGCTCTACTCTTCACTTCTCTCATAAACTTCTACTGTGTTAAACAGCACACAGTTTTCTGCATATTTTAAAAAGTGAGTCCAGAGAAATAGAGGGATATAGTTACCTCATAAAGTTACCTGTTAACAACAGATGTCTTTGTATGTAATTTATAAATTTACTGGCAAGAACATAATTTTAAAATGTGAGGCTTACACTTAAAACAGGGTGAAGATTACTCTGACAAAGTGCAAAGTAGAGAGTAACAAACATCACAATTACCTTTAAATGTCATATAAACATCCTATATTTCAGGCTGAAGTATCAGAAGTTTCCAGGATTTCCAATAAGGCAATACTTACACAAGTATTGTCAGGCTAAAAAGGTAGCAAACTTGCATTCCCAAAATGGGATTATCAAGTTTATTTATAACACTCTGTGAAAAGATATTGTGAAATAAAAAAAGGTACCATGGAGTGTGAACTGCTATTAAAAAAATCTGTAACCAGTAGCTATTTCTAGTTGAGTCCTCCATTCTCTGTCCCCAAAGAAACAAACCAAACAAAAAGAAAGTACTCCTCAACATGAAAACCTGCCCCAAATAAAAGCCTAGAGTTCTAGCCTAGCACCCATAAGTAACTCCAATATAGCTGCTGCCTATAAATCCCATGGCAGGCTAACTGAAGGAGACCATCTCATAATATCTTTTCCCTCAAATAATCACAATTTCTCTTTGTACCTTCCCTCCACCACCTGTAATAAAGTTTTATTTTACTGTAGAAAATCTATTTTTAGGGTTACTATTTAAGTATTTTTTTTCTCTGACAGAAATGACACAATATAGGCTAAAATAATATTTTCATTCTACTGGGCTTTCTTCACCTGATTATATAATGCTATGAAAGCTTTAAACAAAAAAAAAAGGATTAGTAAATATAAATAAAAAACGTTCACCAAGGGCACCTTTCTAGGCTAGGTAAGCAAATTATTATCAAGTGACCACAAAACCGGTCAATAAAGAACAATTTCGAATGTGGGCTTTCTATTCTGTAGACAGGAATGATCTTGAACACATAATTAATACTGCAACCATTGCAGGTAAAAACATATATACATGCAGATATAAGATAGGTGCTCACACACATCTAGAAGATCATCAATTTCTCCCTTTAAAGTTTCATTGGCATGACATTGGCAACTTCTTTACCATCATCATTAGTACTAGAATGAGTAACGTCTACATGGTTGGCAAATACAATTAGTGGAAACTTTAATTCTTATTGTGGTCTCATTTTCTGAAAGCAAAAGGAAGATTTTGGATTTACTTTTGGCAATCTGTAGGCTTTCTTCAGCATCAATCAGACTTCACACCCAACACGACAGTACACTGACCGGTAAAAGTCTCTAAAGAGTTTCTTTACAACTAGAATGCTTCCTTATTACAAGCCACCGAAGTTGCAAACAAAGCAGCATTAATATTGAAGCCATAGCTCCTGCTTATAATTCCAGGAAAAATTAATGACTGACTTATTTAAGAAGGTAGGAGTATGAATTCAAATATGATATGGGAAGATGACTGGAAAATTTGTTTCACAAACTCCACAAATTCCTTTCCACGTATGGCCAACCACGCTCTCACCCCCCAAATTACACCACCTCTCCTGTCTTAAGCTATCTACACTCAAACATGTACCTGATACCACGTATAGCTGGCACTCATAATGAAAATCCATGACCTAAGCTGAACTTGATTAAAACTTTGAAGAAGAACAGAGAAGCACAGAAGTTATATCTAATTGTTACACAAAATGACTCCAAAGGATATACTTTAAAAATCCTATCCAAAGCTGACATACAGTAAATCAGACAAAACTTAGCACCATCAAAACAAAGTTAAAAGATTAAGACAGGAAGAATGACAGGAGAATAAAGAAGAAACGGAGCTTTCCCTTTGATAGTTTACTCACTGTATTTTGTGAATTTTACTATTTACTTCCTTTGAAAGAATACTATGCTTTGGGTGATAAGGTAAACTAGAATTGCTTTCATCATCTCTAAAACCTTGTGCAACATAGATACCAAAATATATTTGAAGGAAAATTTTCTTACACAACGTGGTGCAAAAATAAAAAGCATTTATATTCTTGGAAGAAAAGAGCAAGTCAAATTTTTGGAGTTAAATGTAGTGATGTCACTGATGAGACTATTTATAAAAGGCTTGGTCTAAAATTTACTTGAGGGAGATGTGCTACATTTGGTGGAGATAAAGGAGAAATGAGGGTGAAAGGCTGTCAGGGAAGAGTAAATAATAATGGACAAACGGCCCTGTTTACTTTTGTCGTTAATCTTTAAGGCACAAAATAAATGGAAAAACCAGATTAGAAAAGGGAGGGCCCATTGCAGATCTTTTTCACCTAACTGACAACCCAGAAGAGACAAAAGAAAAGATGAACAGATCCTTTCCTGTGTTCAAATTAACCTATTTTAAACTATTTAACCATTTTGCTTTTTATTTTTTCTTTGGGTTCCATTTAGATTCAGTTTAAATCATTTATCTATGAACCTACAGATCTCTGAGAAGCAGAATCATGCCAGATACATACCTCAAATCCTTTGATCTACTTACTTCACACTGGAAGAGAGGTAAATTTGAGAATGAAAATGGGAGATTCCACTGCAATAAACATATAAATACAGAAAAGCACAAACACCCACACATATACCCCAGCCTCAGAACTAAAGCAAGGTGCAATTTACATTTCAAAACCTTGAAGCGTGAATTGTTCAGGAAAAGATTCTGCTTTATGGGCTGAGTTTATTCTGATTATAAACAAATGTAATGTATATACACATCTGTCCAAGAAATCTTGCACAGTGTGGATTTTACAATGGGTATCATGCACAAGATTAAAGCGAGACCCAAATGTGGAACTTTTGAAGAAAGAGGAAGAGATAAAGGCCCCAAGGTTTAACTGCTCTGGGAAGAAGAGATCACATCCGTTGACTGAGGATCACAGAAAGGTCCGAAACGTCCATAAATATCCTTGGCTCGTACTGCAAAGTAGTATTTGCTTCCAGATACAAACTGGGTGAGAGTGCATGCCATGGGCAAGGGAAGCGCCTTTACTTCTCCAATCTTCTTCCACTGGGAGGGCACAGTGGCACTGGGCTCCTCATGGTAAGCGTACAGATGGTAGCTGTCGACGGCGGCACAGCTTCTGTCCACCTCGAGGACGCTCCAGGACAGCACAATGCCGTTTTGACTCTGCACCCGGGCTAACTTCAAGTGCGGCTTCTGAGGCGGAGATGTGCTGGCGGCCTCTGGGGGCAGGCGCTGCGGCTGCGGGGCTTCTGGTAAGGGCGCCGGGTGCACAGGGCGTGAGGGGGGCTCCTGGAGGAGGAAGAGGCACGCCAGTTTATAATGGCCACAAAGAGGGCCGCTGCTGAAGGGAGAGCACAGCACCCTAGAGAACATTTAGAGGGGCTTCACCTTACACCAAGAACCCTGGGAGACACCAGACCCCATGCCATTTCTGGCAAGTTCTAGTTGATGATTTGTAACCAGTAACGCCCCGCACGATGAGAGCTAAGGCTCCTCCCACTCTACGTCTGAGGTCTAAAATACTGAGTTTTCCTTGGGAAACAAAAGCCCTTGCTGATGGAGCATCATCTTGATAAAAACTGAAATAAGCATCTACTTCTAACAAAATAATTTATGATTTGATGATCTGTACTACAGATACTTTATTTTAATATAACATAACATTTTTAAATAACATGTGTGGCAGTCTATCATGTAAAATTTGAGTATCAACTCTACTTTCATTTTCAAACTGCTTTCCCATATAAAGACAGCAGCGTATTCTCATAAGTAAGCGCATTTAACGCTGAATGTATATTTTTTTCCCCTTGGTCAGCACAAAAAAGGTGACATTTATATTGGACTGTGAAAGACAGAATTTAGAAATGTAGAAATAGTCACAGACCTTTCTGCCAGTAGGTAAAAGCATGAGCAAGGGCATGGGGATAGGCAAGTGAGGGGATTTATGGGCAAAAACAAGTATTAACTTTTATTTAGATATCGGGTATGTGAAGAAGAACATACACATTTGGAAAGGTAAGTTAAGGCCAGATGACGAAAATGTATGAGGTATGACCTTGGGTTGGTTACTCAACCCCTCTGTACATTAGCGGCCATACCTATAATAAAGGTATTAAATAAAAACTAAAGTTAGAACGTGAAAAGATACTTTTTAAAATATCCTTTTTAATACTCCAAAATGCTCTTTTTAATTTAACCATGAGTTTAAAATGGTCTATTTCACTTTGCATGCCCCAGATATGGACTCTTTTTATACACTGTTCACCACCACAAGCAAACTCAGCAATCCTCAACCATCATTCCCTACAAACATTTGCTCACAATGGTAAGGTCTATTTTCTTCAATAAACTTCTGCTGGAGACACAGAAGACCTGTCATTTCCTTTTGATATAACCAGTTTAGAGAAAAAGGTACCAACTGCAATGATATTTGACGGCTTTACAGGTGAGAATTTTGTGAAACCAAGCATCCACACTTACAGTATGCACTTGTGGTGGTCGGTGATGCACTGTGAGCTGAGGTCCTGTTGATCCCAGGGTTAATCCATTGTTTACAACGTATGTAGTTGCTTGAGGCACTCGAACTGTAACACCTATAAAAGAAAATTCAGTGACAAAATTAGAATTCTATTCTAAATTTGGTAGAACACTGAATTAAACATTTAAAGTCAGTAAAGTGATGTTTTTAAAATTCAAAAGGAAAAATATTTCTATTTTTCCATAAGTCTGTACTCAGCTAAAGTATTACTTGAGCATGAGGATAAAGAAACTCCCACATATGCGAGCTACCAAAATGAAACCTACCTGTGTGAACGTTTCCTCAAGTAGCCACTGCAGGATATATGCTCCCCAAATGAGAGAGGGAATCAAGAAAGAGGACGGGAGACGAGTGGGCAGGAGAGAAGCAAATGCCGTCCCTACCAGAAGGACTATAACCGAAAAGCCTAGAACGCTGAAGCCCTGGAGCTGTAGACACGTACAAGGCGAACAGGCCGGAATGGAGCAGCGTGACTCTAAAGGGAGAAAGCTTGAAGCTGTCTTCACAGAGATCGCTGCCGCCTCCAGGACAGGGACGTTACCCTTGCCTTGCGTTAATGAGGTTCCTCTTTCTTTCCATGCCCTGCTGATCAGCTGAGGATACTCATTTCATCCAACAGAAAACTCTTCTGACATACATCAGGGCAACAAACGCAGAAAATGTAGAAGCCACCCATGCCTCAACCATATTCCTGCCATATATTCAGTACCACCATGTACCCTGACTGGGGTGAGCCCAGTTTCCCAGAATTCATTCATGACACAGTTGACTGATCTCCCCAGAGAAAGCTCTTGTAAACTTGAGAAAGCTGAAGCCAGAATGTGAACCAAAGACTCTGCTTAGTTTATTTTCTCCTAGAAGCCATCACCTAATAATGGCATTACTGAAGTTTCTTTAAACAGCTGGATTTGCCCTTGCTATTAAATTTTGCAAAACTATTTTTAGTGATACATATATAGATTGCAGAACCATACAGAAAAACAGAAAATAAGTAAGGATGATGGTTACCTCTGATAGAAAGGGAGAGGGATGCAATTAAAGGCGGGCATATAGTAGACTTTTGGATACTGATAAAGCTCTATTTCTTAGGCTGGTGGGGAGTTCATATGTGGTTCATTTTGCCATTTTTCTTTAAATTTTAAATATATCTTTTACAGAAACTTGTTTGTATGATATATTTTACTACTAAAAAAATATATATATATATTTTTTTCCATTTATATACACATACATATACATATGGAAATTACAAGTTACCTTTAACATTTTCCCATCTTTTATTTCTCAGCCACTTTCCATACCTTTAAGACTCTCTCATTGGAGGCTATCTTTTACCATTATCTCCATCTGGGCTAAGTCACAATTGATCATTCCCACTTTAACTAGGCAAGGTGTCTCAATAGAGTACAGACCAACATCAAATAGGGTACTGTGATAGTACAGGCCATAAGTAATTAAATTGAAGACAACACCCAGAACACATATCAGATAATATACAAGTCCAATTTTTCTGGTTAACTCTCCTAAGGGAAGAAAAATGAATTAATAATAGTTTTAATATGATATTTAGCACTTTTTGCTAAATCTAATGTCAATATAAGCTACTCCAGCTAAGTGCTAAAGAACTACGTGTAACTTGGAGCCATATACAGGAAGAGTCTCTTACTATTTTGGGGATTGACCTGCCGAACAGCAGGAGCCTGCATAACAGTTCCTCGCAGGGAAGCCTGAGCTGGTGGTGCGGGGAGAGCTGTATAAACCACTTGATGGTTTGCAGGAGCTCTTGGTACAGGGAGCCTCGTGGTCACCTGAGTTACTGGACGATGCGTTACATTCACGGTGGTTGGAGCTAATGAAAAGCAGAAAAATATATTAAAAATGCAGTAAATGTTATGCTAAGTAAACAGTATTAAATGATAATTAATTTTATACAAAATCTGATTTACTATAATAAAGAGAACTAGAGACAAGCGACTCCTTTTGTAATCGTGGAAGGTAAGAATGACAGGGCCAATCAAAATTAATACTACTACAATCCAAGCTTCAGAAGAAAAGAGTACCTCAACCAGGTCCAACGCCCTTCCTACTCTAGTTTAACTAGATTAAATAAGCAAGTGAAGATGAAGAAAGGGTTTAGACCTTGAGAGTATGATCTTATAGGAGTGATTTAAAAGAGTAAATTTTCCCTTCCTCAGTGTTAAATTATTCTTAGCAGAGTGGAACTTTCGGCCCTCCAGGCCTTCTACCGATGGGTATAAATCCAAGAGAGTAACTCTGTGTTCCCACAGTTTAAAAAAACTGGCTATTATAATTGACATTTTCTTCAGATGAGCCAAACCATTTCTTACTCAAAACAATAAAACACCCATTAAAATACAGGCTTCTTCCTTCTCTACTGTGGCATTCCTCCTAATTTATGTTCCAGAGAGCATTAATGCCTTGAGTGATATTAACACATATTTATCAAAATATGAGTCCTAGATGTTCACTGACAGCATAGAAATACAGTAATGATTTCAGGAGTTAACAGTTTCTTGTTAATAACTCTCTGAATTAGAATTTCATTTTATAAATGACCACATATTAACTATATAATAAAAATCAATAATAAATATACTTTCATATGGAAAAATGGGCTCTATAATAAAATAAATTTGGAGGTAAACACTGGATATAATAAAGAGACTGCTTAGTCTTTACATATCCTAACTTTCAACGTGAGTCTTTCAAAAGCGGAAAAAAGTAAAGTATACAAGGAGGAATACTTATCTCTTCATCTCCTTATTCCCCATTTTACTATCTGTATTGTTCATGGGTTTGCATAATGACATCTCCTTCTAAATTATCTAAATTAGGTGACTGTCATTTTAATTTATTTCACTGGATCAAATTCCAACGTGAGCTCAATGTATACCTTAATGAGAAGAGTGCTTATATAAGCATTTTGCAGATAAATCTCTTACGCAATAGGCTATTTTTTGAAGAAGACAACCTGTCTTGATTGGCTTCTAAACAGATTAGGAGACACAGGCGACATCTTGAAAATGTCTGATTTATAGTTTCTTGAGAGGTAGCAGGTAAAATATTAGTGGTTCTGACAGTAGTGTTAGGCCAGTTAAAACTATTTCTAGTTAAGAATCATTTAAAAATTCTTGTTTGATCAGTCAATTATAACTTCTTGGTTATAATCAGAATGAATCATTACACTCATCCCTTCCAGAGAAACTATATTCATTTCTGCTGTTTACAGTGGCAAAGACATATATAATTGAACTCTTCTTTATAACTATTCTGTATCAGTGCTGCTACTTGAGACTGTCCACGAAATTAAGTCATACTGCATTCAAAAACATACATTGCCTTCAAAGTAACAATGAGGACTATTCTTAATTTTCTGTCTAATCTTTTTTTAAAATACTTTATAGTTTTTATAACTTATTACTAACATAATTAGGGTTAAAATCCAATTCATCTCAAGGGAATGAGAAGACAAGCCACAGACTGGGACAAAATATCTGCAAAAGACATATTTGATAAAACATACAAACATACAAAGAACTCCTAAAAATTAACAATAAGAAAATGAACAACACGATTAAAAAGTGGACAAAGAATCTGAACAGACACCTCACTAAAGAAGATAACAGATGGCAAACAAGCACACGAAAAGATACTCAACATAACATGTCATTAGGGAGATGCAAATGAAATACCAATGAGATTCCACTACACCTATTAGAATGGTGAAAATCTAAAACACTGACAATACCAAATGCTGGATGTGGAGCAATAGTTCCTCACACTCATTGCTGGCAGAAATGCAAAATGGTACAGCCACTCTGGAAGACACTTTGGCAGTATCTCACAAAACCAAACATATTCTTCCTGTATGATCCAGCAATCACGCTCATTGGTATTTACCTAAATGAGCTAATTTTCTGTCTAATCTTTCCATTCAATTTCATAGTCATATTTCACTGCAGGCAAAACTAAAGTTTCAGCTTAGTGATTCAGCATATTTACCTGTAGGTAGTAAGTGTATGGTTGTCTGAGATGGTCCACTTGTTGGCACCCCAGATGGCTGAAGAGGTGGTGCTGGCTGGATGGGTTGCAGTGGTCGAGATATAGGCTGAGAAGAGCTCATGGTTGACACAGGAGTGTGATTTATCTTTTTAGGGTCTGTTAATTAAAAGTGAGACAATATGATTATTGATAGAAAAAAATTAGAAATACAAGTTTATCCTTGCCATTTAGTCACATGTACCCCTAAGAGAACAATTTCTTTGTATTTTAATTAAGTGTACTTTTGCCAATTTGAAAACCAAGTCAGGACCTTAAACAATTCACTGTTGGCTCTATCACAGATTCTAATTCACATTTAAAGAAAACACAGTTTTACTTTTTTTTTTTTTTTAACGAAAGAATCCTACTTCTAACTCAATACAACAAATTTAAGGCTTTAGCAACTGCTACTTTAATACTTGAGTGTTGATGAAGAACAATGCACTTTAGATGGGAGAATTTAAGTAACACTCAGTGGTGGGGCAATGGAAAGAGACTCCAAGAGGCAGCGGTGATAGAAAGGGAACTGACAAGAGCACTGATAACAAACTTTGCTTACTTTACTTTTTTATCTAGAACCAGCCTTACCTGTGTCTTCTCAAAAATAACCTGTATTTATTTTTGTGCTCTAGGAAATTCCTTCCATTAAGATTTCTCTATTAAAAAAAATAGTAAAAGCAATACAGAAAATCTGAAACTTTTAAACAATAATCAGACGGGCATGAATTCAACCCTGACAAATGATGGCACAAATCTTCCAATTTTACATCAGTTTTATACAAAAAAAAAAAAAAATTGACTTTAATGTCACATAATGAATTGTATAGCTAATTAATTTTGTTTTCCTAAAACCAACTTAACTATCTTATTCCCTAAAACGTAATTTTTAAAAATCTTTAGTTTTAAAAAAAATTTAATGTCTTTAAGGTAAAATAATTAGCACCTGATCCTATTAGATTTTCCACATGTATTATATAATTACCACCACAAAGTTTTACAAATATGTCTGTGAACAGTTATTCTCAAATAAGTTTGAGAAATACTTTATAGCTTGAATCATTCTTGGAGGTTTACACTGTAAATTAGCATAGCAAAGGCTCGGAGAAATCTGTATTAAGGAAAAAATCCATATAATTTTAACTCAGCATTTTCCAAGCATATTTAACCATGAACTTTTATCACAGAACACCTATTAACACTGTGAAAGAATAACTGGGAAAATTGGTTAATATCTAACCAATATAATTTCTAAATATTATAACTCAGAATAATATTGAGAATTCTGGGTGTGCATGGTTTTTAACATTACTTTCATTTAACATCTACATTAAAACACACACACACATGGAAAAAACATTTAATTTAAAGTCAAAAGACTTGGGTTTAATTTGCACTCTGAATCTATCCTCAACTCTAAAATGAGCAGTATAGGGTTATTGTAAGGATCAAGTGAAATAACAGATATAAAAGGAGAGGTGTTCCACAAGTCAAATATTCTCCTAGTTGCTCTGTTTTCCTTTATGCCTTGTTCATATACATTCAAGATTTGATTTCTATTTTTTAATTCTAATCTTAAAAACGCTCTTTCTAAAAAGGACACAAATAATGGGGTAGAGATCTGTATTCACTGAATATAATGGATTAAGAGAGAAAAATGGTATCAAAGCATTCCTTAGTAGGATTACTTATATTTAAGTACCTTGTGAAGCTCCACTCTCTTCATCATCCATTGTCAGATCAATGACCCCACCTGAATCGTTGCCTGTGGCTTTTCCACTCTGAAAAAAACAAAACATCTGCATTTTGCAAAGAAAACTCTGGCAGACATGAGGAAAATAAAATAATACTGAGGGGAAACAAGGATAATGCACAGCCTGGTTCAGTTTGGACACCTAATGGCTTCACCTGAAGAAAGAGTGTTTGTCAGATAAATGACCCAAGGATACTCATGAGCTAAATATGTGCCACATAAAAAATAACTTTGAAATCCTTTCACGATAAATTTTTTTTTAAATTACACTGTCAATTGCATAGAGCTATTAAAGTGACGATCAAGTGTGTTAAGTGATTAACTGTAAACAATTCATTTTCTTTTTTTTAAATTTTCTTTTTTTTTTAACTTTTTCTCTTTTTTTTTTTTTTTGATGTGGACCATTTTTAAAGTCTTCGCTGAGTCTGTTACAATATTGCCTCTGTTTTACGCCTTGGTTTTTGGCCCCGAGGCATGTGGGATGCCATTACCCCGACGAGGGATTGAACCCACACCCCCCACATTGGAAGGCGAAGTCCCAACCACTGGACTGTCAGGGAAGTCCCATACAATCCATTTTCTAACATTTAAATGCTGACCAATCCTACACTAAGTTATCAACGTTAATTCACAAAAACACCAAAGGCAACTTTAAAGCCAGAATTAGGTTACATAAAATAATATATTTTCCCCTGAAGAATGCTGTCGTTTGATAGGATGTGATGTGCTGTAATCAACTGCCATCTAAGTTGACTGAAGTCCACCCACTGCCCAAAATCATTAGAAATGTAATTAAAAAATTTAACTACATAATAGCAACAAAAAAGGAAAGCAGTACAAAACAGACCTGAAGAGCCAAGATCTTCAAGTCAAAAAGACTGAGTGCATCTTTTAGTTCCAACACATACAAGCTATGAGAATTTATGTTAAAAGCACATTTCCTCAATTTCCAAAATTTGGATATGAAGTCTATTATAAGGATTAATGCAAATATGCATACAAAGAGCCTAACACCAGGCATGATACATGGTAACTGCTTAATAAATGCTAATCATAATTACTTTATGATATATTATATCAACTCCAAATGATTAAGGCTTTCATCTATAAAACTCCAATTTTGCAAAATTAAATAATTCTTTGACGTTAGATATTCAGGCCAAATCCAAACACAATGATGTAATTCTAAATCTTACACTTATAAACCTTTCTTTGATAATGACTTCATAGAAAATGACTTGTTTACAAACATCACAAATCTGAAAAATCCAAAATGAAAAGTTCTTAACAAACCTTGAAGAATATAACAGAATCCACTTGCTACAACAGATCTATATGGTCCACTTTTCAAACTAAGGTCCACTTTTAAAATTAAGTTTTAAATTCATCAAAAATTACTAGACAAACATGCAAACACCAGTAAAGTAGAACCCAACTAAAGACAAAAAGATAGTCAATAAAAATAACTCCAAGTGGAGCCAGATGTTGAATTCAGCAGACTTCAAAGCAGCTGTTAAAAATATGCTCAAAGAATTACTAGAACAAATAATCCTAAAATTTATATGGAATCACAAAAAAACCAGAATTGCCAAAGCAATCCTGAGGGAAAAAAACAAAACTGGAGACCTAACACTCCCAACTTCAGACAATAAACAAAGCTACAGTAATCAAAACAGCATAGTATTGGCATAAAAACAGACATATGGATCAATGGGTCAGAATAGAGAGCCCAGAAATAAACCCACACACCTACAATCAATTGACCTTTGACAAAGGAGGCAAGAATGATACAATGGAGAAAAGACAGTCTCTTCAGTAAGTGATGTTGGGAAAGCTGGACGGCCACATGTAAATCAATGAAGATAGAACACTCCCTCACACCATACACAAAAATAAACTAAAAACAGCTTAAAGACTTAAATATAAGACATGATACCATAAAACTCCAAGACAAGAACATGGGCAAAACATTCTCTGACATAAATCACAGCAATGTTTTCTTAGGTCAGTCTCCCAAGGCAACAGAAATAAAAGCAAAAATAAACAAATAGGATCTAAAGAAACTCATAAGCTTTCGCACAGCAAAGGAAACCATAAACAAAACGAAAAGACAACCTTTGGACTGGGAGAAAATATCTGCAAACGATATGACTGACAAGGGCTTAATTTCCAAAATATACAAACAGCTTATACAACTCAATAACTAAAAATCCAACAACCCAATCAAATGATGGGTAGAAGATTTTTTTTTTTTTTTTTTTTTTTGCGTTATGTGGGCCTCTCACTGTCGTGGCCTCTCTCGTTGCGGAGCACAGGCTCCGGACGTGCTGGCCCAGCGGCCATGGCTCACGGGCCCAGCCGCTCCACGGCATGTGGGATCTTCCCGGACCGGGGCACGAACCCGTGTCCCCTGCATCGGCAGGTGGACTCTCAACCACTGCGCCACCAGGGAAGCCCAGAAGATTTAAATAGACATTTCTCCAAAGAAGACGTACAGATGGCCAATAGGCACATGAAAAGATGCTCAACATTGTTAATTACCAGAGAAATGCAAATCAAAACTACAATGAGGTATCACCTCAAACTGGTAAGAATGGCCATCATTGAAAAGTCTACAAACAGTAAATGCTAGAGAGGGTATGGAGAAAAGGGAATTCTCCTACACTGTTGGTGGGAATGTAAATTGGTTCAACTGCTATGGAGAAAAAGAGGCTCCTTAAAAAACTGAAAACAGAGTTGCCACATAATCCGGCCATCCCATTCCTGGGCATATATCTGGAGAAAACTCTAATTCAAAAAGATACATGCACCCCAATGTTCACAGCAGCACTATTTACAATAGCCAAGACATGGAAGCAACCTAAATGTCCACTGACAGATAAATGGATAAAGAAGATGTGGGATTATATATATATACACACACATACACACACACTCATATATACATATACATACATACATACATATAATGGAATACTACTCAGCCATAAAAAAGAAATATTGCCATTTGCAGCAACTTGGATGGACCTAGAGATTATTGTACTAAGGGAAGTAAGTCAGACAGAAAGACAAATATATAACACTTATACGTGGAATCTAAAATATGATACAAATTGACTTATTTACGAAACAGAAACAGACTCACAGACATAGAAAACAAACATGGTTACCAAAGGGGAAAAGGGAGGGAGGGATAAATTAGGAGTTTGGGATTAGCAGATACAAACTACTATATATAAAACAGATAAACAACAAGGTCCTACTGTGTAGCACAGGAAACTATATTCAATATCTTGCAATAATCTATAATGAAAAAGAATATATACATATGTATAACTGAATCACTTTGCTATACACCAGAATCTAACACAACATTGTAAATCAACTATACTTCCATTTTTAAAAAATGAAAAAAATATGTCAAAGAATTAAAGGAAAATACGATATTAACAGATGTGCAAATAAGAAATCGCAAAAGTAGAAAATGAGAAAAACAGGAAGACAACAGAAAAATTAAGATAGAATATTAAAAAATCAACACAAAATAAAAGTAGGAAAAAAGTACTCAGAAACAAAAAAACAGATGACATATTTTTTAAATTACAGAACAGCAGACCTAAATTCAGCCATATCAACGACTAAATGGAATGAAATTTCCTATCAAAATTAGGGATTGTCAGATGAAATAATATATCAAGAAATCAAGAAATAACTAGTTTTCTTCTCCTAGATACTCACTTTAAATACAAATACACAAACACACTAAAAAAAGCAAGCATAAAAAAACTGTTATAATCACATTAATGTTAGACAACATATAAAGAGGTAAACCTTATAACGATAAAACAGTCAATTTGTCTATTTTATTGTTTTCACTCATGTTTTGATGCTCTATTATAAGGTGCATATTTTTCTATAATGTATAATATAATAGGAAGAGAAGATCTATAATCAATGATCTAACCTACATTATATTTTTATTTACCATAACCTGACTGATAAAATTCATCTATTATCACATACTGCAGGTAGTTTCCTGGTTATATTTTCTTCTTGAGAAATAAAACTGAATTATTTCAATAACTATTAACAGCAATTATAAGACAGTCATGATAGCTGGCACTATTCCCATCAGGCTCTGTGCTAAGTGTTTTATCAATACATTCATTAACAAATTTAACCTTTACAATAATCCTGAGGTTGAGACCAGCATTAGCCATATTTTATAAGTAAGAAATCAAGGTGTTAGATAACCTATTCACGGCTTACACATTATTAAGTGACAGGAGGCACTGTCTGACTCTAGAGCTTATTATTTCTATGCCACTAGGTGCACATTTATATATCTTCACATTTTTTCTGCCATCAATTCTGAGAAAACTTATGTAATCAGAGACATTACATGCCTATATCTGCATTTACACACATTACAGAATTACTCAATTTGAAACTATTAAAAAACATCTTAGTTGTATCAAATAGGTTTTAATACTAAGAATCTATTTTATTAAAAAGTTACTTAATCATGTGTCCTTCCCGCAAAATGAGACCACTCTCATTAAGTGAACACTAAGAAAATTTCAAGAAAGCAAAGATACTGGCTTTGTAGGTTTTTTGGGGGGTTTTTTGGTTGTTTTTTTTTTTACTGAAACAAATAACAAGAACATATTTGAAAGGCTAGAGTAGGGCACTTCAACAATTGCAAGGGAAGTTATAAATACAGAAGACCTGGTTGTTCACTCCACACACATCTCTCCAAGGGGACTTGGGAACTACAGGCAGGCTTGGTTGGCTACCAGGAATGTGACCGTTAGAAAGTTTACGTTAATAAATGATAATTTTCTTATGTACTCCTTAAACAGTGTCATACTGGCTTATCAGGATTGATTTGCACAGACATCAAGTCTGACGATGCACACCTGGTTTCATTGTTGGGGTCCTGAGTTTTGACTGCCATGGCTGGTTACAAAGAAAGAGGCAGCTGTATAGTCAGCTCAGACCCTGATACTCAGTCAGTCTTCTCTGGGCAAAGACTATTGGCACATGTCCCTGCAGTTAATAACCAGAGAGACAGCACATCCTGTGCAGTGCTGGATAGGAGAGAATATGGAGGCCTCAGCCTGACCGCACTTAATCCCACTTGATGCATATATTTTTCCTGCTGTTTTTGCTCTCTACCTTTTGCTGTGATAAACCATAACCATGAGTATAACCTGTCACAGGTCTTATAAGTCCTTATAGCAAATAAACAAAATTGAGGCTGATCTTGAGTCCCTCAAAAAAGTAATATAAAACTACAGATGTGGCAGAAAAAGATTTCTATACTGTTTTACAACATGCGATGATACTTCGAATAAATAATGTTTTTCACCATATGAAATATATTAGTAATGTACTGTATGAAATGAGATCTATGAATAAAATATGCAGTAATAACTCATTATATGGAATATGTTAATAAATACTTATTTGGAGGACATTAGAGAAATCTTCAAGGACTACGAAGAGAATATTTTACACATTTAATTATTTTCAAATTAGCTATGTCTGAACAACGATCATTTCCATACAAGCCATCCAGATTCCTTCTAATTTATAATAGCCTTAAAGTGTTCAGAAGTACAACTAAGTAAGATTTGGCAGAGAAAAAAGAAGCTGGCAGAGTATACTTAGAAAGTTAACAGTCTAAAGAATCACAAGCTACCTGTTTCATACCAGAGTCTACTTGCTACTAAGCAACATACAGGGGAAAAACCTAACGATCATTTCTTAATATATCTTCAAAAAACAATAGTGTTGGGGCTTCCTTGGTGGCGCAGTGGTTGGGAGTCCGCCTGCCAATGTAGGGGACGCGGGTTCAAGCCCTGGTCCCGGAGGATCCCACGTGCTGTGGAGCGGCTGAGCCCGTGCACCACAACTACTGAGCCCGCGTGCCACAACTACTGAGGCCTGCACGCCTAGGGCCCGTGCTCCGCAACGGGAGAGGCCACGGCAATGAGAAGCCCATGCAAGGGAGAGTAGCCCTGGCTCACCGCAACTAGAGAAGGCCTGTGCGCAGCAGCGAAGACCCAACGCAGCCAAAAATAAATAAACAAAATGAATAAATTTATTTAAAAAAAAAATAGTGTTACCTTAATCAAGGTATTCAGCACAACAACAAAAATTTTATTTGTAACCCAAAAGAGCCAGTAAAGCATCAATTTATAACTGGCAGCACATATATATTTCTTATCATATAATAAAGCTTGCATATTATATTTATTATTTAAATCCGTAACTGGTACTCATTCAAAGCTGAAAATCTTTTTTTGACCAGGCATGACTTTGGCAGGTTAGCTCCCTAGTCATGCTACTTGTATGCGTTTTTCATACAATGGTATTGAATTACTCTTCCTGTAAGCCAAATAAGATAACCACTGAGAGCTTAATATTTGGCTGCACTGTCTCTCCGCTACCTGATGCAGTCTCTTACTATTTCAGGCGTCTTTTGGATCGACTGGTTCATCAAAATGTAAGTTATACAATACAATGTAAAGTAAAACATTTTAGATTCTAAAACCTGTGAAGTGGGGAGTAACACATGATGTTTTAGAATTTCTAGAACATAATAAGCAGCTGGGTGTTACTGGATTTTATATTATTTTGCTTTGTTGTCTTTCTTTAATTTAAAAAGGATATTTTTAAGTAAACAATTTTAAAAGTCTAGCAAACTTTTACATCAATTTTAATTTCACCTAGATGTTTACAATATTACATACACTTTATTTCAGCAATCCAGTATAACTTTTTGCAATGATGAAAATGTTCTGTATCTTTGTTTTCCAATATGGTAGTTACTACCTATATTTGGCTATTGAGCCTTGAAATGGGGCTACTGTGATATAGGAAGTAAATTTTTTATTTAAGCCTAAATTAAATTAAATTTTAATTTAAATGGCCAACATGTGATTAGTGGCTACCACATTAGACAGTACAACTTTAGAAGAATCATCATTTTTTTTTTTTTTTTTTTTTTTTTTGCCGTACGCGGGCCTCTCCCTGTTGTGGCCTCTCCCATTGTGGAGCACAGGCTCCAGACGCGCAGGCTCATGGGCCCAGCCGCTCTGCGGCATGTGGGATCCTCCCAGACCGGGGCACAAACCTGTGTCCCCTGCATCGGCAGGCGGACTCTCAACCACTGCGCCACCAGGGAAGCCCAAGAATCATCATTTTTAATAAGATAAAAACACAGCCATTACAATGTCCATTTTTGTGTCTTGAAACATTACCTAGTATGTCTAGACAAACAAGAAAAAAAATTACTGAGGGAAATAAAGTTGTTTGTAATTTCTTTGTTTAGTTTTAGGTTTACTTTATAAAGTAAGGCTAGACTTCCTATAGATGTTCCATAAAAGTCACTGAATATATCAACATTTCCTATACCATGTGTCTTCCAGAAAGTACTCCATATACTTTTAATTAAAAACACAGCTACTATAAGACATCCTCAGAAGCAATCAAAACTCTGATCTTTAATATCATATAAAAAGACTGCTAAAATTTGTAAGAAATAAAATATTCCTAATAGCTTTCTATAAAGCATGGTGTACACCTATCTTTGGTTAAAAATCCATCATTTTAAAGGAAAACAGTCAAAATTAAAGATTATGCCCTTGTTTTAAAATTCATGGAATTTATTCATGCCCGACTTATTCAAGATTTTTTATTTTTCTAGGAAAAATATATGCATTTCTTGATATGATTAAGAGGAAGGGAAGAAAATAAAATTAGACTATCAACAACGTAATGACTTCCCTACAAATCTATTACACCTAAAGCAATATAGTAAAAGAAGTATGATGAACATTGTCAATTTAATACAGGAAAAAAGTAGTTACTCCATTCCTGAGTGATTTAAATTTAACATGAAAAAGTACCAGGACTGGCAAAGTGCTAATAAGCTATCAGAAAGACCAAGATTTTCTTTCCATAAAAGCTATCTCTGATCAGCTTTGAAGAAACTAAAATGATGTCTCCGTGTGTGTTGGCAATGGCAGGACAGAGGACTGGGTGGGGGGGATCCCCGCGGGGGAGGTAAACCAGTGAGACCTTCTTAAAAAGACGGGCCAGGAAGAAATTACACATGGAGACTTAAAACTTCACAATATATGAAGAAAAACAACTAGACTGCCGATTATATATAATCCAAGCAGTTAGTTAATTTAATAAACATATTATTTCTAAGAGAACTACTAAGCAAAAAAACTCAATTCTTGTCAAACAACACAGAGACACTGAAAATTTCTGGACAGTTGTAAAAAGCAGACTTAGAATAATTTTCATTTTACCAAAGAATATTGATAGAAATTCATTCTCTTATGGACTGTAATTAGAATTTTACTTTGAAACAGTAGGAAAAATCTTACCTGTGATGTGCTATCAGCTGCTTTCTTATTAACAGAAGCATCTATTGTTTTGTTTGTCTGGTTTTCTGAGGAGTCAAAAAACAAAACAAAGCAAAACTCAGAGCTATTCTTAAAGGCACCTACAAAATGTGAAAGGATGGGTTGCTTTACATACAACAATTCATGTTAATTTTCTCCAATTCTTTTTTGTCTGTCAACATGTTACATATGTAAAGAGATCCTCTCATAGACCACCACTACAAAACCTTTCAGAAGGACAAATTCGTAATAGAGATCAAAACACTTCACATACTCATTAACCAGAAATTTTAACTCTAACCTAAGGAATATTGCAGGGAAACAATTTAAGACGTCTGTAACTTAAATGCTGAAACATGAATAGTTAAATAAAATATAATCCTTCCATACTATATACCTTTGGAGAAAAAAAATTTAATAGCATGGCAAAAATGTAATAAATTCACTAGAAAAATAATTACAGTGATTCTGATGAAATATACATGGATGATCTCAGTAGGTCAATCACAGATGAGTTTTCTTTATTCAGTTTTCAATTAACTTGTGTTGAGTTTGTGGCATATGTATGTGTGTGCATGCATGTACACACACACACATGAAAGTTGTATGTATAGAACTACAACTATATAGTTGTAAAAAAGATAGCTGAATGAAAAAACAGCACAGAAAAGAAACCAAGTAGGTTTTTCTGCCTCAATTTCTAAAGAGAAGGTATTAAATTTTATCAAATGTCTTGAGCATCTACTGAGGTGATTAATCAGTTTTTTCTCTTTGGTAATGTGGTCAATTATATTAATAGGAATTTTCTAATGTTGAAACATTCCATCCTTGCTTTTTTGTCAAAAAAAAAACGTTGGTCAAAATATGGCATTCCTTTCATCTGTAAATCTTCATAACACACATATAAAGTAAACCATTTATATTAAAAAAACAAAACAGAAACAGGAGACATAACCATGTATTTCTACATATAAATCTGTATGTCAAAAAAATCAGGATAAATATCTACCTATTAAAAAAGAAGGTTTTCTAGGCTAGGCACGTAAAAGGAGGCCCTTACAATTTCTCCCTACCCTATCTGAATTATCTTAGTTCCTTTCGTAGGAAGAATATATATTTTATATATATATATATAATATATATATATATATATATAAAATATATATATATAACTCTAACCTAAGGAATATCGCAGGGAAATAATTTAAGATGTGTATAACTTAAAAAAGATATATACATATCTTTAATACCTTAAAATTAGTTCATTTACAATGAATCAGCTTCTCTTCTGGACTGTGAAGTTCTTGAAATACTACTTAATAAAAAACAAATTCCAGGGTACTGATCCTACATGGTTGAGTATTAAATTACACTAATGATATTACCAAAACATCATCAATTTACTTCCAATTTTTTTAATACATATATACAATGTCAATACATTCATTTGGAGTTAAAAGACATTTTCATTTCCATGTGAAAATAAAAGGTAAATTCAGAAGCAAAGTAGGTGAGGGAGCTTCATTTTTATTTTCTGTTGAAATATCCTCATACAATTATCCTCAAGACTCAGAGAAGATTTAGACTGCTTAATAAAATGTTTTACTTCTTTACACACACACACACACACACACACACACACACACAAATACTAATAACTATGACAGTTCTGTTATCCAGAGTGATTCTTTGACGTAACTGTCTCAGGAAAAAGAGTTAATTATTCACAAAGCTGTAATGATATTCCTTATTCTAGATTTTCAGTTAACTTCCCCTACCCCTTTATTACAGATTGTTTTCTTGATTCTTAATCATTTTATAGTCTCACTGCATCTTTTGTTTTCTTTTACTATAATATCTACTTTAAATAAATTGTTTTTGTTTTTGTTTTTGTTTATTTTTGCGGTACGCGGGCCTCTCACTGTTGTGGCCTCTCCCGTTGCGGAGCACAGGCTCCAGACGCGCGGGTTCAGCGGGCATGGCTCACGGGCCCAGCCGCTCCGCGGCATGTGGGATCTTCCTGAACCGGGGCACGAACCCGTGTCCCCTGCATCGGCAGGCGGACTCTCAACCACCGCGCCACTAGGGAAGCCCCACCCTGCCAATTTTATTGCTTGATAGATTGATTTGTAACTTTTTACTTTCAGAATTTATCTAAAGTTGGGGCGCCTGCCGATGCAGGGGACACGGATTCGTGCTCCGGTCCGGGAGGATGCCACATGCCGCGGAGCGGCTGGGCCCGTGAGCCATGCCCGCTGAACCCGCGCGTCTGGAGCCTGTGCTCCGCAACGGGAGAGGCCACAACAGTGAGAGAGGCCCGCGTACCGCAAAAAAAAAAAAAAAATTGTACCTCAAATTTTTTCTGTCATATGGGAAACATCTCTATCTTTTTATGTTGAAAAGATATTGTCACTTTTTACCAACACTGCATTTTTACCAGAATAATAAAAAGGTTTTACAGGAGTGCCAATTAGTAGTATACCCCAGTAGGTGCTGGATAATGGTATGAAAATGAATGCAATGCAAGACCTTTAAATCATTTTTACAACACCATCTCTCATTCAGATCACTCCAAGAGCCTCCTAACTGGTCTCCCTAACTCTGTTTTTCCCCCTCTAATCCATTCCCCTCACTGCAGCCAGTGTTCATGGATGTCACACTCCTTCCTCTCTGTAAAAATCCTTTAAAACCTTATTTCCCACCATCTTTCGATTCACTCCATTCTCATACCATCCCAGATCTCCCATATCCTCTCACAGAAACCGTCATATCTTTACACTCATCACATTGATAATTAATTATTTATTTAATATCCAAGTTCCGAATTTGATTATGAGCTTGGTTAGAATAGGGACTATTTTGTACATTTCTGTGTATCTGCAGGATTTTAGAACAATACAAGCATTTGATATTTTATGAATAAATGATATAAGCTATAATTTGGTCTCTAAATTTCCAAGTAGTCCTTAGAACAATTTTTACTTTACATTTTACAAAAAATATTGACTTACTCTATGGGGATATATGTATATAAAATACATATAAATGCATTTCTAGTTATACAGTATATGTTCTCATTAAGTAAATAAAACCTACATAAGCATAGGATTTAAAACTAATTACTTTATCACATTAGGGATGTATTAAAGTTTGGTTCAACCTTCATATTTAGCCAAAATTTGCTATTTGGCTTCAGCTTAGGCTTTGGCGAGCCTCAACAGCTAAATGCCTACTTTAATGCCATTTATGGCGCCCCTAAAATTATGCATGATCAAAGAACATATCATCTCATAGGATCTCATTCTAATTAACATTATGAACAACATAAAAACAAAGCTTATCATTAACATTTTTGGTTAATATCTAATAATTTACTTTCAAAAGTAGATAAGCATTCTAAATAGAACTCAAAATGAAGATCTCCTTAATATAATTTATGTATTAAAGTACAGATAAATGTGTTAAATATATGTTAAAATATAAAATTTTAAGTGTAAGTATAAATGTATATTATCACAAAAGCAGAGTGATGTTCTAATTAATAATAATGGGGAAAACTATTAATTTTATATACAAAAATAATCAACGACAGTCAAGTAATTAAATACAAAACAGACTAACACTCATTACAACTAATAAAGCGCACTAAGCTAGATAACTTTGGGAAAAACATACCTTTTGTGTCAACAGATGTTCATACAATGTTAATAGGATAATGAAACTGAATTACAGTTCTGATACTGTAGAAGTATTTAGGGTACTTGCATTCATAACATTAAACAAAATAATCTTTTAAGTTATTTATTTCTTTTCAGGCCATGGTCTTTCAGGGCAAGTTCTATATTTAAGAATATATCTTATCTTGCGACCATGAATTAGAAACAATGTCAACTAGGCTCAAAATTTCATAAAGAAGAAAAACTCCAGAATCTCATAAAAGAATGTCCATGATAATCATCTTCCATCTGACATATTAAAAAACAGTAATGACTGGAAGAAAAATAAATTAGAGAATATGAAGTAACCCCCCAAAATCTTGCTCATCACTGACCTCAATTAAAAGTAAGCATCTTTAGCATATAAGGATGTGATAGCAGATAATGCTAAAAAAATATGGTTACTGTACCATGCAAATATTTAATTTTAAATACTAATAATTCTATTTGAAATTTCAGATTTACTCTTATATCTCAGATGTTAATTGTATGAGGATGATATTCAGGTTCAGTCCAATATTAATTTTTAGCTGCCATTCATTTACTCTCTCAATAACTCTATGAAACACCATCACTATTTTATGAGAAAATATAGTCAGAGGGCAAGTACACTACTGAAGACTATATGAGAACTTAAAAAAAACAAGGCTTGTATATCTCACTTGTAAGAGTAATTTTGTACTTTATAATCTGTTTCTTATATTCCATGGTCACTTCCTACATCAGTAAGACAGATACTATTGGCAATTTCATTATATACATGATGCCTAGGCTCTCTTTCCTGTCTTTCCAAAAGCAGTGGGGATAAATGTGAAATCAGAAATAAAGAATAAGCAAGTTCAAGAATGCATAAAAAATGTATGCTTTTGAAGAACAAGGAAGACATAGAGTTTTACAGATTTTAAAAACAGGAGCAATCAAGTTCTCCTTTTTGCAATACTTTTGCAATACAATATATACTTCGAAGTATATATACATATGCAAACATAATCATATGTCATAACGGAAAAATATATAAAAGAGAAAACAAAAAGCAAGCAAACATTCTGTAGTAAATTAAAGAGGGAAGACCTAGTTTTAAACCTCTCAAATTTGCAAGATATGAGTGATTGCACAGAGGATTTTTCCAAATGGGTAGGGAAGATATGTGGTTTTTATTTTCTTCTTATTAGCATATATTATGTCAATTAGATCCTTTAAAATATACTTGCTCTATTCAGATATATCTGAAAAATGTATTAGAAAAGTAATTCATAATGCTTGCTACAAAGCCTAAATTAAAGATTCGCACAGATTAGGAAAACTAGTAAAAGATAAATTACAAATGCTAACTTCTCACTCAAAATAAACTCTCTCTCAAATCCCACTGTAACAACATCATTTCTCTTAGGTAACAAAAAACTTACTAAAAATAATCTCCCTGAAAATTCTATTTACTCTGTTCTTCCAGTAATGCTAGTCACTTACACACACACACACACACACACACACACACACACTCACTCATACATGTTCAATTACCTATAGACTATTAACATGCTTGCATTTCTATTATTAAACCTCCATATTGACTTACCAATTCTTGTGGTGGCCATGCTGCTCTGTTCTGCAGGAGATGAAGTACTAAAAGCAGAAATTGGAATTTTCATCTGTATAGGGCCTCGATTATTTGATGGACTATAGAGTCCTGATGGGCCTACTGTGGGTAAAGAAGTCCTTGTGGCTTGTACAATAGAGTGCGCTGTTGGAACAGCCTGTACAGCAAGTGTTGTTCCTAATGGTGCAGCACCGGCAGGAGAATTCCTTTGAATACTAGGACTGGGCACAGAAGGAACGTTGTTTGGTTTAGTGGGGTTTGGCAAGGATGGCAAAGATACTGGATTTTTGGTTAGACCACTCATTGTAGGTGGGCTTTGTACAGAAATGAATTCAACGTTGCCAGATGGTTGATTGGTCACTAAAGTCCCTGGATGGCTCTGTAGGAGCTGAGGTTGGGAGGATACAGCAACAGGTACATGCAAAATCACTGGTAAAGACTGTAAAGAGATTGTAGGTTGGGGATTTCCACTAGGCACCTGAGTAGAAGCAACTACTGTAGCTGTGTTGGGTGCAGGAAGAACTGACGTTGCTGTCAGAGAACCCGACGTCACTGGAGGCTGCAATTTAGGTTGACTACTGACAACTGTTGGAGGAGTGACAAGATTGGTTGAAGATACTATAAAAAGAAAAAAGAAGTCTCAGTTTAAATAGCTATCTTTATCAGCTAAGATAATATAATACAAATTTGATGTATTGCAGTATATACACGAAAGTCTCTCATAATTAAATTTTTAATTCAAGATTTAAATCCTTGAACTCTCAGATTATCTGTAGAAGCATTTTTGCATCTGTATTTGGTACATTATGAAAATAGCACATGTTTTATGATTAAGGCAGAGGACTGCTGTCTCTGTATAAAAGGAGTCTCTGAAAATTATTATACTTAGTTCAGAGTAACTAGTTGGAAAAACAACTAAAAAACACTGAAAACTAGGTAAAATTGTATAGACAATTTTGAAAGTACATTAAATATATTATAAATGCCTTAGAACACTGGCAATACATAAACTCAAATAGAAAATCTAGAAAGAGTACCATTAATGAATAACAGGTAAACCTGGTGATGCTATTTTGTCAGTTGGACAATGTGAAACCTCTATCTGTGGATCAAAAATTTTACTGGATTCCCCGGGGAGGAACTGGTGAGGAGAGGCTGTCTCTATTAACACTCTATTGACATTATGTGATATGGAAAATAGCGCGGTGAAGATGGGAGATGAATTAAGGAGTAGATAACAAAGAGCAGAGAAAATCAAAATGCTTGTCACTGTAGTTTTACAGTCATTTTAGTTCAATCATTTGTGTTTATTCTCATTTGAACAGGTTTAAAATCAATGACCAAGTTTCTTCTCAATGATTTGTAGTCTTTCCAAAATCATAGGCAGGCTAGAGCAGCAATTCTCAAGGTGCAGTCTAGGGAGACACCTGGGGATTACTGAGACCCTTTCAGGAAGTTTGAAATGTCCAAACAATTTCCATAACAATAAGAAAACATTATTTGACTTTTTCACTGTGTAGATATTTACAATGATGGAGCAAAAGCAATGGTGAGTAAAACTTTTGATGTCTCAGTATAAAAATCAAGGTAGTCGTACCAAACCATCACTGCACTCTTTAACACCACATGTGCACAGTAAAAGCCAAACAAAATCAGTTTCATTTAAGAATGTTCATTATGGGGCTTCCCTGGTGGCACAGTGGTTGAGAGTCCGCCTGCCGATGCAGGGGACACGGGTTCGTGCCCCGGTCCGGGAAGATCCCACATGCCGCGGAGCGGCTGGGCTCGTGAGCCATGGCCGCTGAGCCTGCGCGTCCAGAGACTGTGCTCTGCAACGGGAGAGGCCACAACAGTGAGAGGCCTGCGTACCGCAAAAAAAAAAGAAAAAAAAAAAATTAGAACTTTGGAAAATACGTCTACCTGCCACTGAGGGCATGACAGCTTCCCAAATCTTTAAAGACTTGTCTGAGAAGAACTGATAGTGAAATAAATAAATACGATTTAAAAAAAAAATTTATTAATGAAATGTGTCAACATTTGGAACACTCAGAAAACTCAGTGAATATTTTCCAAATGATCAATGATATTAGTAAAAGATCCATCCAAGTACAAGACAAGACAAATGAATTTTAATGAAAAATTTAGAGAAGTTTATTGGTGTGGTTTCTGATTCCACTTTGCAACTAACCTGTAAGAAACTACTACTTGCTGTATCAAAGAAGAATATCCACAACTCACTAAAAGCGCTAGGCCTTTTCCAACTACATATTGGTATGAGGCTGAATTTTCTTCACATAGTTCAACTATAACAACAAATTGCAACAGATTGAATGCAGATGCAGATATGAGAATCCAGGTATCTTCAGCCATCTTAATGTTTTAAGTGAGGTATAAAAGAGATTTATAAAAATTTAACACAATAACACTCTTTTTGCTAATTTTTTTAAAGCTTGGAAAAGAGCTACTTTTCATCAAAACATGTTACTTATGGTTCATAATATAGGTTTGTAATCATTTTAAAGTGAATAAATAAACATTAAAAATTTTTATGTTTTAATTTCCACCATAGTAAATATCAATTAGTACACCCACATAAACAAAGCTCTTTGGATTCTTAATAATTTTTAAGATTATAAGGGGATGTGAAGACCCAAAGGTTTGAGAACCACTAGACTAGAGATCTGAATTTCTGTATTTTCATGCATATCTGTGATCCTGATTTTTAAATAAACTTTGTGCTTAGCACTCAGTTTTACATAACTGTGCTCAGTTTCTTAGTCCATTTCAACCTCAAAAGAACGTAAGAAAAGAGAACCAAAACCTTCAATTCCTAAGAAAATGTATTTCAGTGTTAAGAATATTACCTGTATTCACAGGGGTTTGAAAGGATGGCGGTGTGCTCTCGCTTATATTTCTTTTGGACTCCAACATCTGTCTCACTGTGTTTGCATTTCTATGAAATATATATACACACAAATGGTCACTTGATATGCCATTCTAGGGAATATCTATTTATGTATAGAGAAAGCAGTGGCCCCTTGGAAAAAAGGGTGGCTAGACTTGGATATTAAAGCATTAAACTGAGAGTGAAGGCAGTGAAGCAAAGCTGGCACAAAGACTTTGGAATGCTGGGGTCTACAGCATTAGGGGAGAGTCTTCCTTCTATATTCTATGTCTTCAATACTTGAACCTGAGAACCAAATGTAGGTCCGAATATCTGCACACATTAGATTTTATCACCCCTGACGAGAGCATTTCTCAATTACTTAAGATAATACTATTTAACACAAGTGGTTAAAGAAAGCCTTATAATAAATTAGCAAAATCAATATTCATAGGTGAACAGTTACAACAAAGCAAAAAGGAAGCAAATATACTTATCCCACTGTACCAAACTTCTACATAAATACACAGAATCACGTTCCAAGATTTTTCTGCAAAGAAAATCAGAACCTTGTTCTCTTAATTAAAAACTTGATAAATAGACTGTTTACAACTCTCACCTGTAGGGCACACTGTTATTGCTGCCGCCATCAACTACAGACTTTCCTGGTGATACAGGTGGGTTTGGTGGATTCTGGGGGAGAAAAATACCAAGGTAAAATAAAACCCAGTTCACAAGGGATCTTTTAAAATAAGACCTTTAAATGCCTTGTCAATATGTTATCTGTTATTTCTCTAATATAGTGGAAAATCTTACTGAGAAAAAAATTTAAATCTTGGCATTGCCACTTGTTAAACCCCTTACACAAATTACTTAGTCTATTGACACAAGGGCTTATCATATGAAAAGTGAATAGAATAATTCTTAAACCTCAGTTTTTGATATGAGTAAATAAAATAGAGAATATGAAAGTAGCTTGTATGTTCTAATGGTTCAGTAAACATTAATATGAATCTAAAGAAAAATTAGATACTCATTCAATAAATATCTAGTGAATGCCTACTATATATCAGGCAGATCAGGCACGATTACAGGCAGAAACTCAACAAACAAGGTAAGTATTTATTTTTCCCCAGAAGTAATTGATTGCCAATTAAGTGGTATCCTAGGTCACAAATCAAAATTATTTTTACAATTTTTGCTTAAAAAATAAATACTTGCCACTATGTGACTTACAATTTCATAAAAAGATGTCCCAATTCTAAACTTCAGAACAAACTAATTTAACCCTTTTCGGCTCCCCAAAACAGGGAATATAGAAAGAGAATTCTAATATTTATACGCTAATCACCATTATTTGGGCCTCCATCATTAATGACACTATCATCATTTATTTCTTAAATTGAGAAAAATAAATAACTCCACTCAAGAGTTAATTAAGTATAATAATACATATAATACTAAACAAAAGGTGGTAAGTGCTTAGGATCACATCAAGCAGATGCCACTAATCACTCTTCTCAACAACAAATATATCTTGCTGCTTTTTATAGGATAAAAGGATGATTTTAACCAAACAGTATAGTGTTGTACTAGTTATCTGTGTAGAGGAGACAAAAGATAAAGAATTAAGATAAACTTCTAACCTGGCTGTGGATGCAAAAACATTTGAAATAAATAGAAAAGCAAATGAAAGTAACACTGTAGTATTACTCGAAAAAGTTTAAAAATTTTAGGGGAAAGAAATGCATCTTCTAACAAGTCTTTGAGTAATTAGTACACTCAAAATAGTTAAAATGAAGGTAAACAACATTGCAGGGAAAACAAAAAAGGAGCAGTATAAGCATAATAAATAAGTATAACAGGGCTTAGAGTCATCAGAGGGAGGACCTTAAACACTACAGTGCGGTGACATCAGCAAGACGGCAGAACTGGAAATCCTATGCCCTCCTTACCTCATGGGGACAATGATTTAGCAATATAAGAACAAATTTCACTGGTAAGAAGTCCAGAAACCTGTTGAGAGATTATAGAACCCCAAGTGACAGCAAGCCCCAGGAGGCATATGGTAGTGGGTAGGAAAGTCTGCTGCTCCTACCCACCGTGCTCCATCCCCTTCCGCGCACAGTGTGGTGCAATCAAGAAAAACTTCCCAACAACTGTGCTCTCCTTTGGGAAGGAAAGAGAAGAGTGGAATTTGCAGGCAATATTCTGGCTCTCTGGGTACTGATAGGCACTGGCTTCAGTCTCACCTGACCTGGATAAAGCAGCACAAGCTGGATGTCTGGGGACTAGATGAGAACAAACGTGAACCCCTTGGCTTGGTACCAAACCAGAAAAATTGCAGTAACACAGACAGAAAACAGGGGTAACTCCAGTCATGGCTTGCTAAAGCAGCACAAGACTGCAATATGGAAAGTAGATACCAGGTGAGGGATGGGAAGTTCCCAAGCAGAAAGAGATAAACCTCTTCAGATGCGAGATACATGCACAAGCTCGAAGAAAATGCATCTTTAAAAATAGGTTTGAGAGGACACCAGAGTATCTACCCAGACTGACTAGTAAAGGTCTTCATCTGTATACAGATATTCCAAAAAGATGGGGAGGTTATTTTTTCAAATGCCCTAATTTCAACAAAAGAGAACCAGACATACAAAAAAACAGGGAAATATGGATCAATCAAAGAAATAAAATTCCAGAAACTGAAGAAACAGATCTATGAACTACCCAACAGAGAATTCAAAATGACTAACATTAAGATGCTCAATGAGATAAGAAAGGACAGAAAATGAAATGAAATCAGGAAAACAATGCAAGAAGAAAAAGAAACTTTATAATAGAACCAATAGAAATTCTGAAGCTGAAGAGTACAATAACTGAATCGAAACCTTTAAGAGAGGGGATCAAAACCAGACTGTAGGGCTTCCCTGGAGGCGCAGTGGTTGAGAGTCCGCCTACTGATGCAGGGGACACAGGTTCGTGCCCCAGTCCAGGAAGATCCCACATGCCGAGGAGCGGCTAGGACCGTGAGCCATGGCCGCTGAGCCTGCGCATCCGGAGCTTGTGCTCTGCAACGGGAGAGGCCACAACAATGAGAGGCCCCCATACCGCAAAACAAAACAAAACAAAACAAAACAAAGACTATCAAGTAGAATAAAGAATCAGCAAACCTGAAGACAAGTCACTTGAAATTATTGAGTTAGACCACCAAATAGAAAAAAGAACGAAAAATGTAAAGACAGACTAAGGGATTTATTAGACACCATCAAATGGACCAATATACAAATTTGGGAGACCAAGAATGAGAAGAAAGTAAGTGGGCAGAAAGCCTACTTAAATAATGGCCAGCAACTTCCCAAATTTGAGGGAAAAAACTGACAAATTCAAGAAGGTGAAAAACTTCCAACTGGAATTAACTCAGAGACCTACGCTAAGAAACATTATAGTCAAGCTGTCAAAAGTCACAAAGATTTTAAAAGTAGCAAGAGAAGAACGACCCATCACATTTAAGGCAGCTCCCATAAGATTATCAATGGTTTTCTCAGCACAAACCTAGCAGGCCACAAGGGAGTGGAATGACATACTCAAAGTGCTGAAAGAAAAAAACTGCCAAGCAAGAATACCATAACCAGCAAAACTATCATTCAGAAATGAAAGCAAAATTAAGATTGTCCCAGTAAATACAAACCTGATGGCATTCATCACCACTAAATCCACCATACAAGAAACGCTAAAAGGAGTCCTTAGGTAGAAATGAAAGGACACTTGGAGGATTCCGGGAAGATGGTAGAAGACTAAGACGCAGAGATCACCTTCCTCGCCACAGATGCACCAGAAATACATCTACACGTGGAACAACTCCTACTATCCATACCCCCTTTCCGGGGAGACTGTGCAGCCCGCCACTGCCAGGGTCCCGGGATTCAGGGTCAACTCCTCTGGGAGACCGCACAGCGCGCCTCAGGCTGGTGCAATGTCAAGCCGGCCTCTGCTGCCGCACGCTCACCTGGCATCCGTACCCCTCCCTCCCCCCGGCCTGAGTGAGCCACAGCCCCCGAATCAGCGGCTCCTTTAACCCCGTCCTGTCTGAGTGAAGAACAGACGCCCTCTGGCGACCTACATGCAGAGGCGGGGCCAAATCCAAAGCTGAGCCCCTGGGAGCTGTGCGAACAAAGAAGAGAAAGGGAAATCTCTCCCAGCAGCCTCAGAAGCAGCGGATTAAAGTTCCACAATCAGCTTCATGTACCTGCATCTGTGGAATACATGAATAGACAACCAATCATCCCAAATTAAGGAGGTGGACTTTGAGAGCAAGATTTATGATTTTTTCCCCTTTTCCTCTTTTTGTGAGTGTGTATGTGTATGCTTCTGTGTGAGATTTTGTCTGTATAGCTTTGCTTCCACCATTTGTCCTAGGGTTCTATCCATCCGTTTTTTGTGTTTGTTTTTTTAATTTTTTTCTCTTAATAATTAGTTTTTTATTTTAATAACTTTATTATATTTTATCTTCCTTTATTTTATTTTACTTTATCTCCATTCTTTTTTTCTTCCCTCCTTTCTTCCTTCCTCCCTCCCTCCCTCGCTCCCTGCATTTTTTCTTTCTTTCTTTCTTTCTCTCTTTCTACTTCTACTAATTCTTTCTTTCTACTTTTTCTCCCTTTTATTCTGAGCCGTGTAGATGAAAGGCTCTTGGTGCTACAGCCAGGAGTCAGTGCTGTGCCTCTGAGGTGGGAGAGACAACTTCAGGACACTGGTCCACAAGAGACCTCCCAGCTCCACATAATAGCGAACGGTGAAAATCTCCCAGAGATCTCCATCTCAACACCAGCACCCAGCTTCACTCAATGACCAGCAAGCTACAGTGCTGGACATCCTATGCCAAACAACTAGCAAGACAGGAACACAACCCCACCCATTAGCAGAGAGGCTGCCTAAAATCATAATAAGTCCACAGACACCCCAAAGCACACCACCAGACGTGGACCTGCCCACCAGAAAGACAAGATCCAGCCTCATCCAGCACAACACAGGCACTAGTCCCCTCCACCAAGAAGCCTACACAACCCACTGAACCAACCTTAGCCACTGGGGACAGACACCAAAAACAATGGGAACTACGAACCTGCAGCCTGCAAAAAGGAGACCCCAAACACAGTAAGATAAGCAAAATGAGAAGACAGAAAAACACACAGCAGATGAAGGAGCAACATAAAAACCCACCAGACCTAACAAATGAAGAGGAAATAGGCAGTCTACCAGAAAAAGAATTCAGAATAATGATAGTAAAGATGATCCCAAATCTTGGAAACAGAATAGACAAAATGCAAGAAACATTTAACAAGGACCTAGAAGAACTAAAGATGAAACAAACAACGATGAACAGCACAATAAATGAAATTAAAAATACTCTAGATGGGATCAATAGCAGAGTAACTGAGGCAGAAGAACAGATAAGTGACCTGGAAGATAAAATAGTGGAAATAACTACTGCAGACCAGAATAAAGAAAAAAGAATGAAAAGAACTGAGGACAGTCTCAGAGACCTCTGGGACAACATCAAACGCACCAACATTCGAATTATAGGGGTTCCAGAAGAAGAAGAGAAAAAGAAAGGGACTGAGAAAATATTTGAAGAGATTATAGTTGAAAACTTCCCTAATATGGGAAAGGAAATAGTTAGTCAAGTCCAGGAA